AAGAAAAGGTGGGGTGAACATTGCAAGGAGAGGATGAAGTTGGCTTCTGCAGGGTGTAACAGCAGCTTCTTTTTTATTTGGATGGAAGGGGATCCAATGAAAATAATCAAAGCAATAAAAGCCTTGGGGAAACTAGAAGATGTATTTGGCAGCAGCTTTTTGGGGCATTTGAAATGAATAAATTTTTAGCAGCTGTGGGAAGGGAAAATCATCAAAACTGAAATAATAGGGACCCAAATTAGTTTGCACTGCTGTGCACACAACAGAAGAATGTGCTTTGGAGATGTTATATAGGAAGTAGCCTTGAGACACTGAAAAGGTTTCTTGAGAGGGAAGAGTCAAAGGTGCCCTCCTGACTATGGGCCCAAGTATTACAACTACAGTCGTTTTTTGTAGAAATATTCCACAGTTTTAACCAAGATCTGTTGATTATTTCTCACACATGTACTGTGGATTCAGAGAGTGAGATGAACAAGCCCTTGTTTTTCTTCTCAGCAGAGATGTCAGGGAACAAACTTTGGCTACCTTTACCAGAATTTCTGCTAGCTAAAATAAAAAGCAGTGCTTTAAGGGAAGTGAAAATCTCTGTAAACTAACGAAAAGGAAATGGAATGTGTGGGTTTTTTTTTTTTTTAAATAAGTCTTGCTTTGTATTTACTATATATGCCTGTGCAGCAGTATCGTTTTTTCGGAAATTACAAATAACAAAGTCACAAAGTTGGAAAATGTGTTCAAATCCACATTATACTGATCGTAAATTTTATTACCCTTCCATTTTCCACTAATACTCACATTGCAAAAGAGATTATATTAATTGGTTGATAGTATGCAACAGGTGTTTTCAGGGTAGGGAGGTTAAAGGTAATCCAGAACTGGTTTGTAGATCATCATAACATTATTATTTCAAACAATTTGTGTACAAAAAAGGTCAATAATGCGTTAGAAAATTATTTTTAATTTTCCTTTAAAGTTTTAAAAAAGTATGTAGTGCTTTGTCATCAGTTAGCAGCAGGAGGGCAAATTAGAGTTACATTAAACTGTGCTCGCTATATAGATCACAAATCTTGTTAGCAAAGAATTAACATCGTAACTGGTAATTTAAAAACTGCCTTTAGCTCTGAATAAGGATTGGCTGTAGACATATTTTAATGGTACTGATGAAGTAAAACTAGATCTCTGTCTTGAAAGAGAGTTTCTGGTGGTAGTGAAATTAATTATCTGCTGTTTTATGAAGTGGCAGTGTCTGTCTTAGCCTTAGCTGTGAAATGGTAATGAGCTATAGAAAAGACCGGTTATCTTTTCCTTGATCCATGGCCCTGATTCTAGATTTAAAAAAAAAAAACAACAAAAAAAAAAAATATATAATAATGGAAAGACTTGGTTATATCACCAAAGGACACAGACATCTAGTTTTCTCACTTGTGTTGGCTGTTTGGGTACAGATGCATGAAAACTGCATGACTTCTCAGATGCGGATTAATAATAAGGAAGTCAAGAAGAGAGGTGGTGGGGTTTTTTTCCCTCCAGCGTATCAAATATGTTTGGTGTGTTTCCGAGACAACAGACAAATTGCTGAGTTGCACGCTCCACGACTTTACTCCTGCAGGCTAATGACGTAGAACAAGACATAGAAGAAAAATACACCTTTCTCATTGCTTTGCGGTATCACATTAATTTTCTTGTGGATTCTTTCAGTGTATTGACAACCTCAAAATGGAGCCTATGCAAACAGTAAATTGTAGTTGCAACGTGTGTTGGATTTTGGTTTGTTTTGTTGGGTTTTTTGTTTGGTTGTTTTTTTTGTATGTTTTGTTTTCTTTTCCCTGGGGAGCAGCAGGAGAGTAGTGTTATGCATGGCATTAATGCAAATTAAAGGCGGTCTGCTTATGCTGAAGGCATTCCCTTCTTCCTGTATTCCCTTTGTGGTTTCACTTGATCAGTCTCCTTTTCTTGCTGACCTCATGCCCGTCCTTCTCTCTTCCTCGCAATAGGTTGGGAAAAGCTGCACAAAGAACACCTTAATCTTCAAAACCAGTTTATTTTAGTGTGAGTCTTAGCATGTTGTATCCTTTCTTATCCTAGTACATACCTAAGTCAGTTCATGCTCTTATATGCTGTGAGGTCTTCAAAAGCAGTTTAAGACTGTCTTCCCTTACTAGGGCTGGTAGCTTTGGTTGAAAGAAATATGTTGTGCAAGTATTTTGTTGCTCTCTTGTAATAATGCTGCTAATTACTACTTAAAGACTCTTCCGAATTTGTTGCAGTTAGGCTTGATCAAAGACTGATATAAACAGACATTATGGCTGGACACTAGTGTTTATTTAAACTCTTAATAGCTTAGAGAACTCAATTAGAAGAGAAGAGCACAAAAAGATTGTGTGCAATGCAAAAGAATAAAATAAATAATTTCCATAGCCTCTTTAATTTTTTAGGTACTTTCCATTTGGTTAACAGATGTGGTGTTCTGTGGTTCTTCATGCTATTTCAAATTCTGTTAATACACTTTTAATGTTTCTGTAAGTCACAATGTGTAGGCATTAGATACAAAATTCAAATTCGTGCTCTTGATGTTTTAAAAGAGGGACCCATATTTTTCATGCATTTCTTTTTTCTTGTTGTTTTCACTTAACTGGTTTATTTTGACATTTGGAAGGCATTTAATGCAGCCTTGGTAGGGATGAGAGGTAGATGTCAAGAAAGATTAACTTTACGGTAGCTTGGACCTGTTTTCTTTGTCAGCAATAAAGAGGTCCATAACAGAGAGTATTCCTGCTAGCATTTGTTTGGTTTAGTTTGAGACGATTAAAGAAAAAGATCTCCCCAATATTGTATCAATCCCAGACAGTCATAATGTGTTGTGCTGAATGTATGGTATTCCAGAGCAGAAACTATATTCTGAGTAGATCCTTTGAGGAAAAAATTAGATATTTGAAATACCTTGTTATGTTATGCCTTGCATTTTCTTGTATATGTGGTTGTGAGGTATCAAGTCAGCTTTTTGGTATGATCTTGTGGGATCACAGAATCACAGGATGTTAGGGGTTGGAAAGGACCTCGAAAGATCATCTAGTCCAACCCCTCTGCCAGAGCAGGACCGCCTAGAGCAGGTCACACAGGAACGCGTTCAGGCGGGTTTTGAATGTCTCCAGAGAAGGAGATGCCACAACCTCTCTGGGCCGTTCCAGTGCTCTGTCACCCTCACAGTGAAAAAGCTTTTCCTTATGTTCATGTGGAACCTCCTGTGCTCCAGCCTGCACCCGTTGTCTCTTGTCCTGTCATTGGCCATCACCGAGAAGAGCCTGGCTCCATCCTGCTGACTCTCTCCCTTTACGTATTTGTAAACATCAATGAGGTCACCCCTCAGTCTCCTCTTCTCCAAGCTCAAGAGCCCCAGCTCCCTCAGCCTTTCATCATAAGGGAGATGTTCCACCTCCTTAACCATCTTTGTGGCTCTGCACTGGACTCTTTCCAGCAGTTCCCCGTCCTTCTTGAATTGAGGGGCCCAGACCTGGACACACTATTCCAGATGGGGTCTCACCAGGGCAGAGTAGAGCAGGAGGAGAACCTCTCTCCACCTACTGACAACACCTCTTCTCATACACCCCAGGATGCCATTGGCCTTCTTGTCCACGAGGGCACCTTGCTGGCTCATGGTCACTCTGCTGCCCACCAGGACCCCCAGGTCCCTTTCCCCTATGCTACTCTCTAACAGCTCAGTCCCCAACCTGTACTGGTACATGGGGTTGTTCTTTCCCAGATGCAAGACTCGACCCTTGCCCTCGTTGTATTTTAATTTCATTAAATTTCTCCTCGCCCAGCTCTCCAGCCTGCCTGTGTCTTGCTGAATGGCAGCATAACCTTCTGGTGTGCCAGCCACTCCCCCCAGTTTTGTGTCATCAGCAAATTTGCCAACAGTGCACTCTGTTCCCTTATACAGATCATTGACGAGAATTTTATGATTGCTGTGCAGTCCTGAAATCAATAATTATGTGAACTATCAATGAGAGTAAAACCAAAAATATCTCTCAATCAGATAATGCTTTATAAGGCATAATGTTCTCTCAACTCAAGTTATTACAGAAACTCCTGAACTGATCCATAGCCAAAATCTGGTTAAAAAGAGAAAACTCACACAGAGACAAGACAAGCAAAAGCCTATAATGGGCTCTAACGGAACCGCTAAACAGGAGTGTCTTGTCACATCTTGTCAGTCTACTGAGGTGCATGTAGAAGACTCGACAGTTTCTTTCTTGGCATTATTAAAACTAAAGCACTGAAGAAGAGTCAACAACCCTTCCATGCCATAGAAAACATCTTTTTCATTCCCTCCTTGTTCGCAAACATTTCTATAAGGATGCTACATTACAAGGTATTAGAAAGATTTCAACACAGATCTTCTGGATTCAGTCTGTAACCCACTAGGAAATAAAAACTCTGTTCTTCAAAAAGAAGCCAGCAAAAGAAGGTAACAGTAACGTGCAGAATTGATTTAAGCCTTGGCACAAGCTAATTATTAATCCTCAACTTCTCTAGGAAGATTCTATCAGCCATCAAAACAGTGACCAAGTCATATATGAACCTCCTAACTAAGACTCCAGGTCACACTTAACTTACACAATGTAGTCTTTTTTTCCAAAACTAAAACAAAAAATAGGGCTCCATTTTGAACAAAGACCACAATCGAGAAGCAAGTTCGTGAAATTCCTACTTCCTACAGAAATCTGACTTAGTAACCATGACAGACTAATTCAGTAACACAGTTTAAAATCACAGAGAACATAGAAGTGTAAACAAATGGTGATACTTAAACAGGGAAAAAGGATCACATTAATGCCACAACTGACTGCAAGTCAAAACAAAATTTCAAACACAGCATCACAGATGTTTCTCAAAGAGATAAAGGTTAAGTACTCACATGTCACACCTTGAAGTTAATCCCTAACACAGGCTAAGACCGACACATAATACAGGAAAAAAAAGGTATTATTCACTGCACATACCTTCTGCATCTGTTGGTCTGATTTGGCCATCTCTGCAAAGTAATCATCTGGCCTTCTAGTAGGAACTTGGAGCTTACGCAACTTTGGCAGGGCTTCCAGGACTGCCGCCTGAGCCTGCCGGTAACTAGGGAGACAGCAGAGCACCAGCTCTGTCACTGGGTATCACTGTCACCGCGCTGACAGAAATTCTGCTCACATAAGGTATCTGACACTGGGATCCAACAAGCATTAATCTAGATTTATATCAACATGCTGTGCCCTACAGCATTCAGTGCTACTAAAAGTAATTTAGTACATGCCAGTACAATACTAACACTTATATCCTGCACATACACATTTATCTAGCTTCCAGTTACAGTTTTATATGTTGGATTATAAAAGGCAAGGCAAAACAAGAGAACCGTAATCCACAAAGAAAAATACATATCCTGTGTTAAAGCCATAGTGCTGCAACCAAGGAACTTCTTAAATAAACTTTTCAGCAAAGGATGGAAGCCTGCTGCAAGAACAGACATTATTTCCAATCACGAGACAAGTTAAATATACCAGAACTAATTCATAGTTATTTTGGAAAACATTCAGAGGCATCAAATGTATATATACGGCCCAAAAGTGACATGATACTGGTGACGGTCAGTGTGGCAGTCTGCAGCACGCCTGCCAAACACAACTCCAAGCATGCAGCAGCGTGTCAAGACACTAGAAGAAGTCTCCCTTTTTGACACTTACAAGCTCATCTCTCTCTGGAAATCATTCTCAGGATCAACAGCATCTTTGCTAGAAGCACTCTGTGAGACGGGGTCCACGACCTGCCCCAAAGTCACGTCCAGCCTTTCCACCCATGGTAGCCGCTGCTCGAATTCGGACAGACACCGCTTCAGGCCCTCCTGCGAGAGAAGCGCAGCTCCGCATACCACAGCACAGAGCCAGCGCTCCACGGCTGGCCCGGCTGAACGGCCGGCTCACACC